GCCAGCCATTTCCCAGTAACCGGCGGTTCACGGAGTGGAAGAGCTCAGCAGAGGCGTAAGAAAGAAAGGATGAGTAAGAGCGGTAGGAGAGGACTCGGCTCCTTCTCTCACCGGGAGCTTCGGCCCAAGGCCGGCGATGGTTCCTACCGCAGGCAGCCAGCTCCCGGAGCGAGGGCTTGGGCGGATGATGGAGGGGTGAAGACATCGCCTCGGGGTATTTTGTAGATCGGCAAAGTGCCCCGGCATAAATCCCACCCGAAAAGCTGGTAGTCGGGAAGGAAGGCTCCTCTGGATGGGCTCAGCGCCCCCAGGCAAGGGAGCAGGATGGTCCTCAGCCCTTGTCACGGAGAGGTGCCCTGCGCTTGGGTGCAGGTTGTGCTGGCGTGGAGAAGACCATCAACCACAAACTGGTCCAGGAAAGCCGTAAAACCACAGCAGCGTGCACCGGGCTGGGCTGGCAGCGGCCGGGAGAAATGATCTGACAAGCGAAACCATCACGGAAAATAAAAAAATAAAAAAAATAAAAATCCTTCCAGGAAGCACCTGGGGGCACAAAAAATATACAGGCAGTCGGAGATAAAAAACTCCTTTCACTGTAAATACCGATCCGAAACGCTTCACTTTCCCTATCGGCTGAGGCTGAAGGCTCCCGGCTGGAACGACGGCTGAGGCTCCGTCTTTATTCGTCGCAGGAGGTTTTATAGCGATGCTGGTGCTCAGCCGTCAGCCTGGGGTTTGTCGGGAGAGCCCCAAACCTCCACACGGGAACGGACCAAGAGCCGAGCGAGTATTTTCAAGGGGAAGGAGGAATTTCTGCAAAAAATAGACGTTGGTGCTAAACCCCTCAGCCACCCGGCAGGAATCACCCCCCGTCACTCACTCCACCCAGGAGCTGGGACAATTTATTGATTTTTCCAAACGAACCCGGTGAGGTCCCCGGGGACCCTTTGACGGACCCGACCTGAGGAGTCTTTGCTCGAAGACGGCTCTGGCAAGGGATGCCGCGGCTGCTCGGGTTTGTAGAGCGGGCCGAGCCCAGTCATCCCCGTCCTTGGGATCGGC